TAGGTACGGCCATATAGATTATATCATTAGACTCCTTATGCATTGTACTTTCATTTTATATGGTCAAATCCCGGGTGCCAGCTTAGCCCAAATCCCCCATCGTACTTTGTAATTTACATTGATTTTATTTTTCATACAAATATGAGTTGTATTGTGTTTATTATTGAAAATAAAATATATAAAGGTTTATACAATTTAATAATTAAGTTGTGCGATAGTCACAAAATATTGAGCATGATAAAGTTGATAAAAAGGTGTTAAAATGAATTAATTATATTTATTACAATTAATTTACATTAAAATCTCGCGTTTAGTATTTTTTGATTAAATGACTTATTTGTATGAAACGAAACAATTAACAACTAAATTAAATAAATAGCATTGAAAGCAATAATTGCATTTAAAAATAATATCAATTTCTCGCACTTTGAATACAAATTCAAACATCGTGTTTATAAAATAGACTAATAGTTAGTATAAAACGTGAACAACATTTTCACTTGAAATTCATTAAAATAATAGTCATTTAATTTTTATTTTTTAAACATTAAGTTTGTTTTTATTACTAAATATCAATGAATTATAGAAATAGAAAAAGTTTTAGATAAGTATTTTTCATGAATTATAAATCAAAAACTATTGGAAATAAAGAATTAATATCTGTTTAAATGTCTTGAAATTTAAATACAAATAGATTTTGAAGACAATTGATTGGATTCATTGATGGAAGCGATGGTGCGATCAGAAGAAGAGACCAAACTTTTTCGGTGCGGTTGACTGACGGCTACTATTGGTTCGCATCGACGCATCGTTGGCCTCAAACACGACGATCAGAAAAGTCATGTTGTCTTTGCCGACAACCCCTCTGATGGGCATAACTGTCGGTATTATCTGTTTGAAGATCTCTTCGCAGATCTTCGACAGGGGTTTCACTTTTTTGGCGACCCTTTTGTTGACATAAGCGATGAGGTCTTCGTTGGGAACACTATTCCAGACGCCGTCACAAATGAGAACCAATAGGTGGCTGCACTTTTGAATGTGGGGGTCAGAACTAAGTGCCAAGCTTGATATGAGCTTAGAGCCCCTGGTCAGAGGTTTACAAATATGGTTTCAAAAGTTGCCGGAGACAACTGGTTCCCAAGATATTACGGATCAAATGAGTGACTTTGCCATTGAAGCCCATTATAAATAAAATTTTCTTTTTTACATAGAAATACATTGAATTTAATTGTTGAATACAAAACTTAGTACAAAACATTGTTGCACGCGCAGTATATTATATAAAGAGTTGTTCACGGGATAAGATTCTTATCCCGTGAACAACTCTTTATATAATATACTGCGCGTGCAACAATGTTTTGTACTAAATTTTGTATTCAACAATCAAATTCAATGTATTTCTATGTAAAAAAGAAAATTTTATTTATAATGGGCTTCAATGGCAAAGTCACTCATTTGATCCGTAATATCTTGGGAACCAGTTGTCTCCGGCAACTTTTGAAACCATATTTGTAAACCTCTGATCAGGGGTTCTAAGCTCATATCATGCACATTACCTAGTTTTGACCCCCACTTTCTAAAGTTGAGCCCAATAGGTTATCAACGGATCGTAACTTCTCTTTCTTCACGTCGGGAACAGCGATAACCATCTGTTGATCCTTCGCTAGAGTTGTGTTGCGTTTATACAAATGGTCGCCAAAAGCACGCGAAACGTTAATCCCGTAATTGATTCGTCCGGACGTCACTTCTCCGCCGGCGGTCTCTATGCGGCGCTTCTCGTTGTCGTCGTCGGGCTTGTGGTCGGCGGACAGCGGGTATGCCTTCCCATTGCGCGACAGAATACTCCGCGAATCACCACAATTGGCACAATACAAGAACCCGTCCTTCACTAACACCACAGTCGCCGTACAGCCGCTGGCAATGCCCGGAGCCGTCGACTTAGTTATCGGCACTTTTGAATACGACTGTCTTATGGCCACTAATTCTCGGATCGATTGCGGATTCATTAGCAGATCGTCTAAAGCCATAAAAGTCTCTTTCAGTGCGGTTTCATAGTTGCGATTCTTGTAGTTCTTATTCTCTTTCAACAGTTTTGGGAACCGTTTGGAGGCAAAGACGGCCACTTCGGCGCCGTTATGGCCATCAAAGACCGCCCAAAGGCTACCGTTTTTGTCAAATGATGGCAAACAGATGTGTGCGTCCTCTTGAGTGCTGCGCCATCCCTGCACTGAAGACGCCCCGTACGACACCCCCGGACCCGATCCGTCCTCAGACACCGGCGTCACCACCGCTTCCTTCAGATAGGTTTCAGTCATTCAATCGATTGCTGTATTTGTAAAGAAATTGTTCAACAAATGCAACGAAATGTCAAAACAGTTATGAATTAAAACGGTTTTGATTTGATTTTTCAAAAAACTAAATAATAACTGAAGGGATGAACAGATCGTGAAAATGAGTGTTAAATATGTGAATAGTTTTTACAATTGCTTACAATTTATTCAAAATCTCTTCTCGCGATTCAATTGTTTGAATCGACGACTGAATCATAATTTGAATCCAAAAATATAACAATAAATTCTTCACTCAATCAATGATTTATTAAATAAAACAATTGAATCATAAAAACAGTTCAAAATTCAAATCAAATCTTTACTCAAATGTACTGAAGAAGTGACACAAGTCTTGAGCCAAAAATCAATGAATCAATTGTCAAACTCTGGAAGTATTGTCTTATGCGATGACATATTAGGACTCATATTCAGTCATTTGCCGATCAAAGAGTTGTTTCGTTTCAAACGAGTGTCACAACAGTTCCGCGACTGTACTCAAGAAGCGCTTCGGAGGACACAGTCGTTGGCCTTTGGATTTAATGTGAAACTCAAAGAATGCGATTACAAGGATCGGCTAATCAAATCCATCACTGGATCTATTGATGTGAAGGCCAGTGATATCACTCGAGGGTATATCGGCAAAGACTACAAAGACAACGAACGAATGCTCAAGAAGTTACCACGAGTTCAGAGATTATACATAAGATTCAGTAAATCTCGATTCACTGGAATGAAAGCAATTGTCAAACATTTGCCACTTCTTCGTGAGATTTACTTCTTTGAGTTCTCTTTCTATGTGACTGAGAAGAAGAGATACACATCCAGACAATGGGCACAACTCATGGCAAATGTCACACACATTACGATTGCAAACATTGAACAGCGATTCGCACCATTTCTGGCAGATATCATACGACAGTTGAAATCTCTTCGAAGTCTTGAGATCTATGAAATACCCATCGAATCGGATCTACTCGTCGATTATCTGCCGCCAAACATCCGGTCACTAAAAACAATGAGACACACATTTGACACGCCATCCATTGCCAGTCTGACCACAAAATGTCATCAAATACAAGAACTATCGCTCAGCTCTCACGTTGAAAAGGGATCAGATATCAGTGAAGACAACGAATTTGGCGAATGGCTTCTTATTATCTGCAATCGTCTGAAGAATCTCAAGACTCTAACCATTCCTTTGGGACAGATCTCCGCCGAAGTGTTTGCGGAAAACATCGCAAAGTTATCAAATCTAAGACATTTGGCAATCGTTTCGCACTCATCTGATCCCATGCTCTTCAATACGACATCAATGACACCATTGACTACTATTCGATCACTCAGTCTGTATGGTATTGAGTGCTCACCAGAAATGTGGTCACAATTGGCTGAAGTGGTGCCAAATATGCGCCACTTATCTCTGGATGCCATCAATTGTCACGTGAATTGTTCAGTAGATCCCGAAGAAGATTGTTTCAAGAAATGCTTCAAAAGATTTATGAATTCAGTGGCAACTCATCCAAGACTCAAAGCTCTGACACTCGGATCCGAAATGGATCGCTACGACGACAACGTGTTGACAGCTTTACGTTTGTTCAAAAAGTTGGATCAGATCTGCATTCATATAGCGATCGAAAAGTGCCATAAAGTATATGAGTTCATAACCGAGACTCTGGCCAATCGACACCGAGTCTTCCGTTTGGGTCTTTTGGACGACACAAGGGATCAGCTCTTGAGCAAAATGAATGAAATGGCAGTTCATATACCGAAGTACGTGAAGATCAATGGCTGCGGAACCAGTTCTCAACACAAGTGCAACAGTTTTTAAGCATCCAATCAATACATTTTGTGTTTGTTAATTGAATGCAAAATAAAGTTTTGTGAATGAAATAAATAAATGTTTGAATCCAATTGTTTTTAATTAAATTGTCTATTGACTAATGGGGTTGCGAAACGCACCCACTAAACAAAATACAGTTAATAAAATATGGTCAAAAGTGCCCAATTAAACAGTGATTGTGTTTAACATATTAATGTTTTTAATAATTAAAAATACAAATTAATTACAAATCTATTTCTTATTAAATGTAAAATATTTATTAATATAATTTAAATCATTGTAAAATATTATATAAATTATTTTAAATATGATTAAATATTGTAGTTATAAACTTTATATAAAATACTTGATATCTAACTAAAATAAAGATGTCATTTTTTATAAATAATGTAAAATTGTTATAAAATCATTTGACTCTATTTTCCATAGGTGGGTTTGGAGTTGTCTTTGATCCAGGTCACATACGGTTTAACATCGATGAATTTGGCCGTATTATTAGCGCTACAACCGGTGCCCGAAGAGTAGAGACCAATGAGTGTGGATGTGTTGCCATTTGTGGCAAACAGTGGGCCACCGAAGTCTCCCTAATAAGTAATCAAACAAATAATTAAAAGTGAAATTCTAGTTAAAAGTCATATAAATGGCTACAAAAATGAGTGTCAAAATACTAACCACACAGTCCTCGACCGAGTCGTCCAAATCCTGGACAACACACAACTGGTTGGCCAACGCTGTGGCCGACGGTTCGCACTCAACCACATTGGCCTTTACTATCTGTAGTTTGGGCTTAAACTCGACGACACCATCGATGGCACCCCAACCGCTCACGTAGTGCTGGTCCTCGGAGTGATCCTCTTCGGCCGATTCGGGCAGACATACGGTGTTTATGGCACCGGCGGCCGCCTGAACGTCAAACGGTTGGGCCAACCCTACGAGTGCCACGTTGTTGGCCAGAGTGATCTCGTCGTAATCGGGGTGAATCGTGCTCTTCATGGTGTACTGTACGCCCGGTTGCTGTTGGCCCGGGTATGAGGCCCGGCGTCTACGAGTCCACCCGCCTTTCGTTAGGTTCACGTTACCGGCCTCTGAGCGCGTGAACGCCTCGGTGTTTGATCTGGCAATATATTAATATCATGGTCAGTTTAATCAATAATGAACTATACATGGTATATAAACACTTACCCGCCGACACAGCTGGCTGTGGTCAAGACAAAGCCATTGGTGGCCACAACCCCACCGCATGCGTGCGCCCACTTTCCACTGACCTTCTTCTGGAGGGACACCTGGAAGGCCACCTCTCCCGGCGCCGCATCGCGTGTGCCGTTATTCTCGCCGTTGATTGGTATGAGTCCGACCCCACACTCCAACACAATGGGAGCGCCGGTTGTTTTGCCTCCCGGCCAGTACTGGCTGTAATCAAACTCGCATTCGCACTGATAGGCGATCAGTAATACAATGGCCAGCGATTGTTTAAACATGGTTTTAAATATTTAATTAAGTTATAGTTTTATGTTTTTCGTGAGAATTTGTTTGAATGTAAATTCTGGTGTATTTTTTAACGCATTTGCTTTGAGTTTATATACTTTTCTCATATCTTGTAATATCTAAAAGTTGTCTCTAATGTCGTAAACTATAAGACAATAATAAATAAAGTCGTAAAATATAAATTACACCAATTATTTGAAAAACATTATTTAATTATTGTTTGTTGTTTACATAATATAGCCAACCCTCGTTATAGTGAACATGTGGTATCAAAAATTATTTGCACATTAATAAAATTAATTTATTATACAAAACAATTGCCTTTATATTCCGTAAAATTCTTTAAATTAAAATAAAAATTTCATATAATATTGATATGAAATCATTAAAAATAATTAAAACTGTGAAATTTATTAAATGTGTACAGGTACTTTATTGTAAATTCATTAAAACGTATACAATTAGATAAATTATATTTATGATTCTTGTTTTACTGGAATATTCCTGTTATAAAACATTGATTACAATTCGTGGCGATAATATAATTACAACTCTCACTGAAATGTACACTAATATACCGTTT